TTGAGCGATAGAACTATTAACAAAGCACTTTTATACTAATAAAGGGCTGGCTTATCTAAAGCCAGTTGAGTAGCACTTGAAATGTTTTTGCTCTATGAAGCCTGATGTACTTATATGATTCTATTTTCTTCAAGTTTGTATTTTGTTGGTCGAACGCACTTATTGTAAGTCGCTTTGGATAAAAGCGTCAGCTAAATGCAATGTAATGTAATGTAATGAATCTTAGGAAATTACAGATTTCAGGTTTGAATCAATGTAATCCACTTTAGCAATAGACATTCTGTTGGAGTTGACTATTTAAAGGAAATAAAGCTATTCAGAGATCCCTAAAAAAGTGTCACGTTATTTCCATAAGTGGCCCCAATTGGCATCAGAAGGATTGTTGAATATATAAGGGTTTGAATTACCTCATTGACAATAAACTTTAATTTCCTCTCTCCTCCTCCCAGCTCTATGTGTGATGATCGCAGCGTCTGTCTACACGGCTCAGAAGAACAGTTTCCACTTGGCCAATCTCCGGGAAGGTACCTACGGCTCTTCCTACATCCTGGCCTGGATCAGCTTCCCGATGACTCTCATGAGCGGCCTCATGTACCTGGTGCTCAGGAAGCGCAAATAGATGTGACGCACAGGCACGCAGATATCCAACAATATAAAAAGGAACACTTGGACACATGCATAAAGTCATACACTTTGACTCAACAAACCAGCATGCTAACATTCTGTCTCTTACCCTTAGGTTTTATAAGAGCATTGGAGAAAAAGGAAATACACAAATCCCCAATAATCTAAAGTGTCAGGTTCATGACCAGACTATTCAACAATAAAGCAGCACATCTTTGTCCACTTTACACACCTAAAGCCTAAATTGTTGTATACCCTTCTTCTTCCTGATGGTACATTGTTCTCTCTAAATTCAGCAATGATGCGCCAAGACTGTCCAGACACCCAGTTAGCTCCATTGACAGACTTTTCTTGACACTTCTTTCCATAAAAGTGCCTTAGAAACACTTTAGACAATGGACTTAACTAAACAACGGTGAGTTGGACAGTCTTTTTTTGCATTACATCTACTAAAACATGTTAAGCAAACATATACTATGATAAATACAATTTTGCCAACTGTTCTGGATAGATTCATGTACATGAAGCTGAGGTAAAATATATGCAATACAAATGCAGAGGAGCCAATGCACCACACGTTCTCCACTTAGTTACTGCTTTGGATAGAAAATGTCCCTTGCTGCATTTAGAGAGAACATGCTTTCTCCATCTTCTTTTCCTCGACACAGGACGTTGTTCCAACATACTGTCCACTTGTTTCATTGTGTCCTTTTGACCGTTCATAGGAACCTGTCTGAAATTCCCAATCCTAAAGGATAAAAGTCAAAGACAAGTGGGGAAGTTTGTCTTATTGGGAGGCAGCCCCTGGACTTTATAAAGGGTCCATATTTTTTTGTTGTGAATCTTTAGTCAACTGAATTTATTTTGTACATATTTGCTGTGTATGTATAGTTTAGGTTATTGCCAAAAGCTTATTTTCTAAGACTAAACAAAATTATCTTATGTTAACCATAGCATGTAGGACTTGTAGTGAGGCACTAGTTGAAGTATAATATGTAGGATTTTAACTTGTTGTTTTTATTTTACTTACTTGTGTTGTAATGATGAAAAAGGAACCAATGATGTGCTGTGATATCTGAGATTTCAAATGGCAACAGAGGAACGTGTAAACTTGAAATAAGAATTAACTTTTCTTTGTTACTCTTTTTTTGTTCACAGCTTCACTGAGAAAAAAACATCGCTATTTATTGATTAAAACCACTGTTGTGTATTTTGAGCATCATGTGACAAAGGATGTATGAAGTAATTAAGTCTTGCCATATTTGTTTCCCTCTTTTGGTCGGGCTACTGTTTGTTTGATCGATTACTGAAACATCTCTAACACTCCTGTTCGTGCTCCGGCATTTAACAACAATAAATGTGTCACTGTACTGTACCCCAAATTCCCAGAATACTTCAAATTTTGTGGAAATATAGGGATAATGTTTGAGATAATATGTAGACTCGTTTGATCTTTCTTTATCGGAGTTTGGGGTTGTAACAATTAAGGGAGACCAGCATTCATTCATGCATACAGCTTGGACTTGATGGATCCTTCCGGTGCACAGTTGATTTAGTGATAGGAATGTGTTTGTGTTGTTTGGTCCACAGACTGGTAACTTTTTCATCAATAATGAAGATGCAGTAAAAAACAAGAACGTGAAGATGTTTTACTCTTATCTCGAGATACTTGAAAATGATCAAAAAAACATATTGGAAGCCAAGTTTGTGTTTGTTTTTCCAGATAATTTTGCGAAGATGTCATCTTTAGAGTGTTCGACTAAATAATAAGCCTCCTGTTTCAATGCAAGTGTTGTAAGACCTTTTTTAACCTATATTGAAGTGAAAAGTAAGTTGCTAGCTCATGTCAAATGATTTCAAGACAGATCTAAATAAAACGATTACTTCAATGTGCAAAGTCTGTTGTAAATATTCAACAGCAACCACAAGATTCACCTCTAAGAGTTGATCTATAAGAGCAACTCTTGAGTATAATTGGTCATGTTTCGGTTTATGGTTGTTATCGGTTTATAACTGTTCTGCAGTTTGTTTGATGTCAATGTAGATGTAATGTTCCTTAGTCAATGTAGATCTACACTAATAACCACAGTAACAAATGAGCATATGAGTGGTTGAAGCCTCGACTACTGCATTCATGGGGATTTAAAAACACATTTTTTAACCTGTTTGAATATTTTAAATGATTAATCAAGTATTAATTCCACATTGATTTAGGGTCTGAGATTTTTTTTTACAAAAACTGTTAGTTTGACAGCGTCTCTAGGCGTATATCAAGTTAAGAAGCTTTTACAATTTTAGTCGAATAAATAACAATATGATATATCTTTTAACATAATCAAAATCAGTAAATTATTCGGAAATATGCTTATATTTGACTGTCTTATAATGTATCCACATGTCTGGTTTTGTCTGCTATTGACATCCAGTGGACGTAAAGAAGACTACACAATGTTAAGCTAATAGTTTTATGGTTTCAGGCTACAGAAGCAACTGTCAACATCTCCTGGGGCCTCATTTATAAAGGGATATATGCTCAAAAAATGGCGTACGCCAGTTTCTCGCAATGTTTGCGATTTATAAAATACTAACTTGACGGGAAAATGTGCGGTCCTCCATGCAAACTCTAACCCATGCATACGCACTAAACACAAAAACGGGAGAGACGAGAAACTGCGACACCATTGGCAGAAGGAAGAATGGAGAGAAATAATACCATAAATAATCAAAACATGTAGCCTAAAACGCTAACATGGCTTACCTAGATCTTTGTCAGGTCAAAACTGGTCTTCAATGGCATTAAAACGACAAAAACGATGCTGTAGTTAATCCATAGGTTAATATCCAATGTGACTGTGTCCCCTTTGAAATGTTCTGATAATCTATAAGCAATAAAACTGCAATTCCGTTTTCAAATATCAAAGCAGGGATATTCCTACACTCTGAAGCAAGATTGCATGTGCAGAGACACAACCTTTTTTTTAACATGAGTGTGTGCGGGACGATTTCCCTTCGATTCTATTGGCTCTAACGGTCAGGAAGAGATGTCACATGTCAAAATCGAACAAGGGGGGCCAGAGATATGGAAAATCCACCCAAATGGTCCCAGAACCCATCATCCAAGGTTAGTTTTCACTATAAGTACAAACAGTGGCGGCTGGTGGAAAATATTTTTGGTGGGGCTATGGAAATAGGGACCAAACCATACTAGGGCGGTCCGGGGGGATCGTCCCCCGGAAGACATTTTTGAGAAATGACCCCTTAAATTATGACTTCTTTCTGACAAAATCAGATTTACTCACAACGGTTTCCACTCTGACTTTAATACAGCTACACCATTGTTTGGTTTCCATGGTAGCGCGTCTCTTTAGCAGCGCGCGCAACTCAAAGTTTGAGAGGGTGAGGAAGATGAAAACTGAACAAGAATTGACAACTCCACCCTCTGCTCACTCCTTTCCTGTAAAATACAGGTCCAGCCCACATATATGATCCATGGTGCTACAGGCATTGCCCTTACAACTACAATAAGCATGTACATGTTAATCTACAGCTCCGGCGATCCACTAGCACCGGAGTCTCCACCTGCAGACACAGCCATCCTCGACAACTACTGTAGCGTCACCTTGGATACGAGTCCAAACAACTCACAGACACACAGGCCAGGGCGCTGACAGGGCGCCCTTTGAGCATCAGATCTGACGACGCTGATTGGCTGAAATTATGTTTCGGCGGCATAGTATACAGATAGCAACAGTCAGCTTGTTGGCTGCTGCTGCTCTGGCTGAGGGCTCCTTTCTACCGCCCGGACGAGAGAGGGTAATGATACACGCTGTGGCCAGGCAGGAAACATGTGACTTATCAGTAACTTTAGACATTGTAAAACAATTTTAAACGAGATTGTATTGTATACTATACATTTTACTGATACCAACTATATAATATTTACCTTGTTCATTAAAAATAAAAAAATATTTTTAAATATAAATTTGTAATGACAATCAAACATGTGGGAAGAGGGGGGGCTGCGCCCCTAGCGCCCCTATGGGCCAGCCGCCACTGAGTACAACATATTTTTTGGACGGACACTAATTTACAGTTTTTTTAACATATTCAATCTGAATTTTCTTTAAAATAAAAAATATGTATATAGATTCTGACTTTTCTACATCCAACTCACAGGTTTATCATTACTTTGAGAAAAAAGATTATTAATGTAACCCTTTTAGAAGGGAAGATATGGTCATTTGTTCTGGGAAAGTCATTTTTGAGCCTGAAACCTGAAAAACAGGCTCGGGGTTTAACAGGTTTAAGAGTTGGAATGATATGATGATTCTTACTCATGTACAGTAGGTGGCGGTATGCACCATTTAAGTTCTGTTTGCAATCCCCCAAAAACCAGAGAAGAAGAAGAACGAATCATCTCAAACAGGAAACCATCAAACGTTAGAGGAGGTATGTACAAACATGACCACTAAATCAACATTTAAATCGTTCAATATGTGTGGTAGAGAGTCTTGTGAGCTAACTTTATACAGCTTACTTGTTACTTGTTTACCAGCTCGTTGCTAGACAAAGGAATATGTAATAGAAGCTTCGGCTAACGGTTGCTAACGCTAAAACTATTGTGAGCTTCACGTGGCTCTCCGTTCGTGCTAACGAGAAGGAAAGGCTGCTACGAGCCATTAAACCCGTAAAATAAGACGGGTTATCTTAACCCATGTGCGTCGATTGGTTCGGTGGACCCGTATTTGCAGCACTGATTTAGATACATTAGCCGCGTTCACACCGAGCACTTTCATACTTTGATATAGTTCCCTATCTGGTATTTTCGCCCGTGCCATTGTACAACATGGAGGAACTCACTTCAGTATGCCCCCTCTCAAAAGAAACAGAAGTATTAATTCATCTGAATGACAATTACTATAAAACGTAATAACAAAATTCAGATTGCAGCTCTATTGTATTTAATATTAATGCAAGTATATATAATGATGATGATTTAACATGTTTTCTTTTACATCAACTCTATATAAAGAACATGTAAGTGCATGCCCGGCGCCGTGGGAGGGCCAGGCATCTCCCCCAACGAACACGTTTTGTATTATTTTTTTATTATAAATAAACTGTGACCTTTTATGCTACGATGTATGTGATGTCAGATAGTAACTAAAAATCGCAGGCTACGTCAAATAAATGCAGTTGTCTGTTGTGATTTGTGATTCGTCCACATTTAGACCAATCACAGCGTCACACTCTGCCTTCCTATTCTGGATTTGTTTATTGTGCATTCTGTAGACTCACATTTCTGTTTGAATTACAAAATGGACATCAGAAATTGGCTTAAAAGGTCTAAGGATTTATTAAAACGAAATAGCGATGAAAGAACTGCAGCCGATGGTGCTGCTGGCGACCCTGCCGTTGCAGCAAAATGCCTTAATGTCACAAGCTTGACCTCCGCAAACCCAGGGGCTGAGTTAGCGAGCCCAATCCTTGACTCATCAAGGCGGCCGCCACCAACGCTGTCCTCCGAGGCACAGCTCCTTGTCGCCCCTACCATCACCACCTGCGTTGCCACACCCTGTACCTAACCCGCCAGCATCCTCCTCCTCCGTGCCGGTGCCACATTCGAAATGGCTGAGGTGAAGCTCTCTAGCGGAGAATACAGCATTTTCAATAACACTTCCTCAAGAGCGAAATCCAACGTCTGGTTTGGTGTCATCCTAGATGGAGAAAATAACCAACATCCCACGCTTTTTGAGACAAATATGCAACTGCGTGTGTTAATAATTGCATGTTTTCACTGCTCATATATAGGCTGTTCGGGTCGGGTCGCGGAACTAATTGGCAATATGTGCGGGTAGCGTGGCGGGTTCGGTATTGCACGTCGCGGGAGAGGGTCTTGAAAATCAGACCTGTGCAGGACTCTGCTGCATGGTACAACAACAGACCATGGCTTGAATATTCGTTAAAAGCAGACGCAGGCTTTTGTTTCCCCTGTAGAAAGTTTAAAGTAAATACGTCTTCATCTGATGCGGCTTTTACTGTCAAAGGTTTTTGCGACTGGAAACACGCATTACAGACTGATAAAGGACTGCTAAGGCATGCCGCATCAAAAGAACACATTTCATGTGAGAGTTTGTGGAGAGAGAGAGAGACAGGTACGCGAGGAAACAAATAAGGAAATTAGTTAGGGATGCACGATATTGGTTTTGTGAAACCGATACCGATAACTTCCTGCTTCTCAAGACCGATAACCGATAATAATATAATATATATATATATTAAATGTACCTGTAGTTTTTGCACACCTGGTGGTAAAAAAAAGACTAGTAGTGAGCAAATGACATGAGCATTACTACTATGAACAAAACAAAGCAAAGAACAGTTTTGACTCTTCAAAGTGACCATATTTATTTTCCCAAATAAAGTTCTTGCCTTTTTCAAAAGCCTCGTCGATAGGTAAAAGCCCCGGTGCCTTTGCAGCTGGCTTTGGATTCGCCGCTGGTTTAGCAGCGCAGGCGTCTTCGTACGCTTTTAACACACCATCGTAGCGATGGCGATGTTTCAGGTGACTAATCAGGTTGGAAGTATTATAGCTCGTTGCCTTTTCCCTCCTCGTGGAACTTCTGCATTTGTTAATACAAATAGCAAGCGAACTATCTAACTCTGAAACTTTGAAATAGTCCCATACTACCGGCGACATGTTTGTTTACTGTCCTGGCTTCACGGCCGCACACCATTTACGTCACAGCCAGGCATGAGTTAGGGAGCGCTGGATTTGTGAAGAACTCCCCTCTTCCTAAACCACTAATACCACAGTACTGGCAAAACGGGAGGAGCCGAGTGAAAAACAAGCGCCCCTCATCCCAATCCACCCACACCGCAGTATTCTTTCTTTTTTTTACCCCAAAAATATATTGTATATTATCGGGGCTATTAATACTGTTATCGGGTTTATCGGGATGAAGTCATCATTCCTAATATCGGACCGATAATTATCGTGCACCACTAAAATTAGTACTTTGGTGCAGATCAGCTGCACGGAGCCTTTATTACGTGTCAGCTGTCGTTGATATTATAGCTTTTTTAGCTGTCAACCAACTCCCTCTCAGAGGTGACCACGATTCACTCCACAGCATGTCCGAGTGCAGAGCATAGGAAAATGAACCATGCCCAAGGCGGGCTAAACAGTTCATCGTCTCCGTCTCTACTATTTCTCTCCGAGTGCAGCGATGAGGAAGCTGTCTTTACGCAATGCTGTTGGCCTTGCAGTTTGATATATATTCTGCCGCAGGCCCATGACTGTTTTGTGTACCCTCCCATGAAAATCATATGCTCTCCCTTTAGATTTGTTCTGGTGCCCGGCCGGGTCTGTGTAAGTGTAACCAGCTTATTGCTGTATTAAAAACAAGACCTAAAAATGGAGGGTCTCCAATTGAGCAAATCAGTTTATGATTTATGTTGGATGTCTGAAAAGAACACAATGTATAATGCATTGGTTCATGGCCTCTCTGTGGCCTTATAGTTAATATGTTCAAATGTATAATCTCCAATTGTTGTTTTGTGTTTGTAGTCGACTTGTCTGCAGCTTGTATGGGACTTGATTTTGTTTTTGCCGTGTTGGTGCTACATTTGAAGTCCCCCTTGAAAACGAGATGTTTTATCTCAAGGGGTTTATCCTAAATACATATATTTCAGTTACATTTAAATTACACACTGATTTAATTAAATCTATTGTAGTCTCTAGTTAGATTGAGATTCTAGTTTGCTTTTTGAAGTGTCATCATGTATGTTTGACACCAGAGTTGACTTCAAATATAAACATTAATCCGATTATTGCAACTCCTGTATGGAAAGATGTTGTCATAAAGTAGGTAGATGCAGCCATTGGACACATGCAGAAATGTGCAATTTGCATTATAAATTGCTCTGAATGTGTACTATTTTCTGTGTTTGTGTTGTGTTTACAGAATTCCTCGCAACATTGCAAATAAGTTAAGGACTTAACTTCTGCACAGACTGAAAGGTGAGACAAATAACCAATATCGCAAGAAATCACACTATGGACTATTGAACCTAGCCGTGTTGTGTACAAGGCCATAACCGTGGAAAAACTGGCTTGAGTTTTAAAACATGATGAATGTATTTATTATCCTTGCAATAATGGAAGTAGTTATCACATACAGCATATGGTACAACTAATTCCCGAACAGTGTCCTTCACATGCTTATATACAAGAGAGTCACAAGATGGAGGAATACCAGTTCAAAGCAGTACACAATGTTTAGTTCAAATTAATTGAGGCCCACGTCAGAAATAATCATGCATGTCATATGTCTATCTCCCTAGAGGCTGAATCATCATGTTAACACATAGCTATCAGGTGCCTAAAACAGTGTGTCCTGACACTCTTCTAGGTAATCATACATCCTGTCATATACACTTTTACAGTTTGGCCTTTGTTATCATGTGCACCTGTGTACATTCAGTATTTTCTCCAACACAGTTTGTAAAAGTTCGTTATATTTGGCTGTTACTAACATTCTCTAAAACTAAAATAATATAATGAATCCCTTCTCTAAAACCATGGATTTCCATTGTAATGTTCTTTACCAGGTTATTTTGTTACAGATATCTAAAAAGTAGTTTTCTTGCAGTATAGAGACGTAGCTGAAACTAATCCAATAATGTCTGACAACAGAAACAGATTTAACAGTGGCTGTTGTTAATGCCAGGTGATAGACTGATGACAGTGTCCTTTCAATCAATCAATCAATGTTTATTTATATAGCCCAATATCACAATGTTACATTTGTCCCTCTCTTTAGTATAGTTACATAATGGCAGATGCCCGAGAACGAACTCTTCGCAAACGCTCAAGAGCAGATCAGAAGACGTTAAAACCTTCCCCCAAACGAAAGAGTCCTAGCCTGTGTTCTCCAGAGCAAACGAAGCTAGCGGGAGATGCTCGAGTGAACATTGGATCAGCGTTTGAAACGTGGTGTGAAGTGAAGGCCTCAAAAGGATTACAAAGTGATGCAGAGTTGGCTCTTACTCTACTCGATAAGTGAGTTAACAGCATTCTGTTTGCAGAACAGCTTCATAAATATTTGTCTCTTGCCAGTTTTTTTTAATCTACGTACATACAGCGGTTTGGTTTGTCAAGTATCAACATGCTCTTCTGCTGAATGTTGCCATAATAAAACACTAACACTATATTTGATTTCCACACGGCATCTATTGCACATCTGTCCGTCCTGGGAGAGGGATCCCTCCTCTGTTGCTCTCCCTGAGGTTTCTCCCATGTTTCCCTTTAAACTGTGGGTTTTCTCTGGAAGTGTTTCCTTGTACGATGTGAGGGTCTAAGGACAGAGGGTCTAAGGATACAGGGTGTCATTTTCTCATACTGATATTCTGCACAAACTGCTGTTGTATTTGCTGTAAAGTGTCTCTACTGTAGGCTATTTTATTATATGTACAGCACTTTGGCTCGACCAAAAATCGTTTTAAAAATGTGCTATATAAATAAAACTTGATTTGATTAGTTTAGCTTTTACTGTCTACGTGTGAAGGTAACTGTTATGACAGATTCCTTAAGCAGCGTATTTCTCGCTTATTCATTAAGGTAACACAGGTCAGAGAGACCCCATCGTCTCTTCCACAATTACCTAGGCTGAGCAGAGGGTCAAGGAGGCCCTGTTTTGGATAATACAGAGAGGGTATTAATTACTCCTAAAGAGGTCATGAGATAGTGACCTTTCCACATATCAACTAATCTATGTTCGTGTGTTTTCCTATTTTCCAGTGCATTTTATCCCATTTCTGCAAATGACAGTGTAATATATGTAAGATGGGGCATTTTACTTCTATATCTTGCTGCTCATCTTCACTCAATCAATCAATCAATCAATCAATGTTTATTTATATAGCCGAATATCACAAATGTTACATTTGTCTCAGTGGACTTTACAGTTTGTACAGAATATGAATATGATCTTAGAGGTGTTCCTAGAGCAAAGAGACACATGGTGGGACAGGTTAATCATTTATGTTGCCAGATATTACAGAAATGCTTTAAGATGGATGTCAACTAAATACCGTGTGTGTGTGTGTGTGTGTGTTTCTCTGTATGAATATATGAAGAATGAAGAGGTTACCATCCAATTCAGATTCCTCTGCACCCAGTGATAAAAAGATCAAGTTATCCCAATCTGAAGTAAGAGACATTATTTTGAGATTATTAAATGTTTAAAAATGCATGATAACATTTGCAATTGATTACAGTGCATCATAATAATATCAACCTTCAGTTTCTGAGTTTCTTTCTTTTATGATTTAGGTGCAGACGCTGATCGAGCAGGAGGTTCAAACTGCACTGAAAAAGAAAGACAACAAGCTGCTAGGTTTGCTAGGAAAAATTCAAGAGCTGGATGAATCACTGAACTACAAAAACTCCATCCAAAAACTGGAGGTTCGTGAAAGTAGTGATTCAGCGTGCCTTACTTTGTTGTTGTTATCTTAAAGGGGCCTTCTTATGGTCGGTTTCAGCTTCATATTTGTATTTTGTGCCTCTCTCTATATTAACATGCCTTTCTCATACTGCCTGTGCTGCAGCACCGTTTCTCACCCTCTGTCTGAAATGAGAGCTCAGGCTGCTCTGATTGGTTAACTGGCTAGCTCTGTTGTGATTGGTCAATTCCTTGGAGATACCCCACCCCTTATATCGCAGTGTTTCCCATACATTGATTTATTTGTGTCAGGACGCCACAAATAAATATTGTCCGCCACAAATAAATATTGTCCGCGACAAATGGATCTCATACATTTTTTTCTTTTTTTTTTCTTTCTGGTGCGGTGCCCCCACAAATATAATTAAATTCTGTGGGAAACACTCTATAGTATCACTTACAATGTGTTGGAGAGCTGCCAATAGAAGGCTGTTACAAGCCCTTCTATTGGGGGCTTGTAACAAGGGCGAGTGTTGCATAGAAATGTCACTATGTTATTGAAGTAAACAAAGGAGTCCATGGAGGTGTTTCAGGCAGGGTTGGCGGAGTGTGTGTAAAGTCAATCTTTTAAGCTTTCTTTATTCTTCTTAACCCGTTGTTCTTCCTAATTTTTACCCATTAGATTGGATCCACTTTAATCGTACACACGCTACACTCAGCATCATAAAATCACCTTTGTGTGCATTTTATTTGTTGTTCTGCCACGTCTTTGAACCAAACTTGGATATATTCTGCATATGTCTCAAAGCCTAACTGGTTATAAAGTATATCTTAAACCAGAAATGTGTTTCTCTCTTCCTAAGGAGCGGATGAACACAGTAACCAGGAGAGCGGAAGCAGCTATCGCCATCATGACAAAGACACAGAAAGAGGTTTGATGCACACACACACACACACACACACACACACACACACACACACACACACACACACACACAACTTCAAACCCTGCTTTTTTGCTCACGCAGTTCTATCTTTTTAAAGGTCCCATCATATGCTTTTTTTATTATTATTACCCGTCCCCTTGTGTGTTATGTAGCTTTTTCTGCATGTAAACGGTCTGCAAAGTCACAATGCCTCAAAGTACACCCTGTAGCGAGTAAAACTCTAACACAGAAAAGACTTGTCTGTGCTGCCCCAGAACGCCTCGTTGGACATTTTTCTTTTTCCATTTATTACTTCCGGGGCAGGTTGACGGCACTCTAGAGCAGTGGTTCCCAAACTTTTTATAGCCAAGGCACACCAAAGGACAAGTAAAAATCTCAAGGCACACTTATTGTGCAAAATAGCCCTTATAACACGTGTTATCACTCATATCATGTAAAATATCTGTACGGCCCGTCCACACAGCGGCGTGCGTTGAAGCTTCCAACGCTTCTGCCCATTCACTTTGAATGGGGTGACGTCACTTTTAGCCGAACTGCATTTTGGGAAGCGACGTGGAGCGTTGCTGGCTTCAAAAGTTGAGCAATGTTCAACTTTTGACGCCTCGACGGAGGCGTCAGCCAATGAAATCCCGTTTATGCAAATCTGCCAGTACAAGCGCTAGCCAATCAAACCGCGTGTATGCTGGGAGAGACTACGCAGGTAATTTCCTCATATTCAAAAAAATGGAGGGAAATTCATTATAGCGGTAGTGAATCACCCGGTGCTTTATGATCAGTCTCTGTTCATCTACCGGGATACAAACCAGAGGAGTGAGGCATGGAGGGAGGTGGCAGAGACAGTGGGTGAAACTGGTAGGTTTTCGCCTGTTTGGGGATTTTATATCCAGTTTACTTCGTTTTAACATTGCTATTGCTTTGTATGTCGGGGGCGGGAGATTCATGTGATTGGTTGTTGGTCGCGTTGCTCGCAAAAAATCCCCAAGCTTCAGACACGCCCACCTCCAAGCGTCAACGCACGCCGCTGTGTGGGCGGGCCGTAAATGTGCATAATTATTTACTAATGCCAAATAAAATGTGACAAAGACAACTATATTACTCATGAAATATTTATTAACGAAATATTTCAGAAATTAATTTGACACTTTATCAAATTAGGCTTCATCAAAGCAGCAACACACTCATTTAAACCAGACGGGTCACAACATTAAAAATGAGGCAAAGGAAACTCAGCAGAAACTCAGCACAGAGAACTGTCAATGCAAGGAAGCTGCATTGTCCATGGTCCTGAACTACAAATTATAAATGTAACATTTCAGCAATCAGCATTGAAACATGTGCTATTATAAATATTTTGCCGACTTACAAATTAGTGAGATACACGTGCCTGTCGGGGCGCGCAGAATGTTTTAATCCTTGGTGGCACTGAGGAGAGGGCCACTCGCAAGTCCTGTTCAACAGAAACGTGACCTCCTGTTGTTCTTCATGTAAATCAGAGTAGAGAATGCCAACTCCAGAGATGGGGTCGTTACTAAAAAAATGTAATATATTACATATTACTTTTTTTTTAAAAAAGTAATATATTACACTACTTCGTTACTATCTACATAAAGTAACTCGTTACTTTACTCGTTACTTTACTCGCCGAGCACGTACGAACTGCGCATGCGTGAGTGGCAAAAACTTTCCTTACCAGCAGGCGGCGGTAATGGGCATACCTCCACCCCTCGAAAGTTATCGCTGACTCAGCCATGTTTATGCAGCACTGCACGTGGAGATGTGGACGCACAAGTTGCGCAGATTACGTACATATAAACCTACAAAGTACTGATATAGTAAATAAAAAAAGAATTATTTTTGTGTAGTTGTATATTGCAATAATAACGTATGGTTGTCACAAAATCCCACGGCACACCCGGACTTGCCTCACGGCACACCGTTTGGGAACCACTGCTCTAGACCAATCTGCGGAGCTCCACACTCACTCACTCACTCACTCACTCACTCACTCACTCACTCACTCACTCACTCACTCACTCACTCATGTGAGTGTGCTCATTGATTATTATATCCAGTTTGAAATGTAAACAGTAAAGACTGCCTCACGAGATCCAAACAATTGATTGCCTTTCAGAACCCACAGCCATCTCTGGATGATGTCGAGATTAAAAGGTATGTATGACCCAGTGGTAAAAACTCTCATGTGAGCCTGTGTACTTTTGCTTGGTTTGTATTTTGAGACATCTTTGATGTTTTGTTCACCCCTGCAGGTCAGACTCTTCGAAAGATAAGAGGAAAATCCCACCTGGTAAGATCTCAGCCATCAAGCCTGCTTTTATAAATATTTGCATTTGTGGATTGTTGAGTATTCGTTCAATGCAATTTACATTTTCAGTTGTCAAAAGCGGTATTAAGAGCATGGAAAAGAAAGTGGAGTTCTTAAATATGATGGTAAATATGCAGTTAATTTATCTTGGAATAATTTGTTAAATGCAAATGTTAAAATGTCTCCTTGTTTGTTAAGGAGAAAACTTGATTTTCACACAGTTCATTGTAGTTTGCTCATTCATTGAAAAGACGAGGGGTTTATGCTCAAAATCTTCTAATATTACCTTTCTCTCTGTCCAGAAAATCTCAAAAACAGCATTAACAAAGATGCAAGAAGACAATGAATGTAAGCGCTTTTGATTTATATATATATATATATGTATACATGCAGAGGTTGGAATAGCTCAATTTTAAACTAATGTAGCTTCTAATGATATTATTTTCCATGCATGGAGAAAAAAACTGACGATAAGCTGCTATAATGACCCATATTAAATAATATGAGTCACTTGAACTAATAACCACACCCTTTTTCCTACTCTCTCCTGTCCCTTCTGTTACTTGTCACTGCAAATAATCCGTGTTAAGCTTTGAAGGCTGTCATAGCAGGTTTGTCAGAGAAGCTGCCTCCTCCGGTTCCTACTCCTAACGGCTCTTCTGACTGCAAGGTAAGATGCTTCATTATTTAATTTATCCTTTCCAAATTATTAGGCATAAATACTGTATGCTATCAGTAACGATCTACACAAGCAAGGGAAAGATGAGATTTCCTTTCCTAAAAATAAATGTTTTGTTAATGTTTTGTGTCTTTAATTACTCCCACTAATGTAGGGAACTCACATATTTATTAAGAAAGAGACGGATCATGAGGCGGAAAAACACCCCACTGTAGAGGACTCAAAGCAGTCGTTTGAACTACAGGCTATGAAGGTGAAAGTAGAACATCTTTCCATTGACCATAGTAGCAGTCCCAATCAAACAAACACCAAGCAGGTATTACACACTCACACAACAAAATAACAACTCACTTGATTGTTCGCTACTCAAATTCACCATTTCTGCCTTTCTGCCTTTTCTGACAATGAAGGGCACACTCTCGTATCCTCCTCTGCCCCCAACAACCTTCCCCTCCGTCCTAAGCATAGAGGTGGCTTCATACAACCTTCCCGGGAGACCAATAGTGAATGTGGCTCTCATTAAGAAACCCGTCGGCCTCTCTGTGCTCTGGAACGTGGAGGTTAAAGACCCCCAAGGCCCGCCCATGGATAGTTACAGGTGAGAAACAGCACAGGATGAGGGATTATGGAGGAAGGTTTCATGCCTGCTACATAATCCCGTGTTTCCACTACATGGTACAACACAACCCAATCCCTCTTTTTGGGTTTTTTTCCAAGTAGTAAAACTTGTGTAAACTACATAGAACTTTATTTTTTGTACACTGCAGATCATCTCTACTGATTCATTGGGCATCCTGCAGGAATTCACATTTTTTAAATAGCAAATGCCAGTTAATTTCCATTGCATGTTTGAAAAATGTCATAAAACAATTAGTGAATTACAGATGTTCATCTGTTTTGAAAAGAATCAGCTTGTATCAGGTTTCCATGTAAGTTTTAAGCCCCATCTACATTAAAGAGCCTGCGACAGCCTCCCAACAACTGTTGTGCAATGAAATATTGGGCTACTAGTCATCTCCAACCGTCAGTTTAAAAAAGAAGGTGCGATACCGTTCCGATAAATATCAATAATTTCGAACATCGCGGGGAAATTCCTTCGACTCATTTTGAAGTTTTGGGGGAAGCCGGAAGTGACGTCAATGCGGGAACGCTTCACTGTGCGGCGAGAGAGCCAAACACGGACAAAGTGTGTTGTCATGCGTAGAAATTGTGAATTACTGAGTTTAGGCACGTTAATAATGTTTTAATGAAGTTGACGACAATATATTCATATTTGTCAGTGCTTTCATGTCAATTCGGCGAACATTAACATAAATGATCGTGGTGAAGATGAGGATTACATTAGGATTAAAAATCGGTAGTGAGAGCTGCTGAATTTCCTCCCGTCGGATGTGATCATGGGCGGCGCCAGGATTTTTTTGCTGCAGTAGCTTTGCAGTTGCTATATGACAGCACGGCATTGCTACTTAAATTCAAAATAAATAAACAAACAATACCAGTGGACCAAGCACAAGCCTGTTCATATTCAGGGGGTCCGCAGGGTCTTAAAAGTATTAAAAGTTGATAAATCAATTTAGCGAAAATTAAGGCAATTAAAATGTATTAAACAGCATTTTCCAAGGTATTAAGAAGGTCCACAGCAACGACAACATGAAACACCCTTTAATTTACTGAAACGACATGTCGGGAAACCCCCTCAAGGTGACCCCATGCATAGCCTGCCATAAAATGCTGCTTTTTATTTTAAGTTTCGTTGCCTTGCTCCGCTCTGTGGGGGGGGGGAGAATACGCCGTCCACCGCGGAGAATAAACAGAAGGGCAACCATGACAACCATGCTCCGGGGTCTTCTTCGCTGCTTTTGGTGTATTTTGTGGCGGCAGCAGCGCCACTTACAGGCCTGGCATATGTACTACAGCGTTTCCAGCATTTCCAGCGGTCTAGTGTGAACGGACAAGTTAATGAATCGAATGCGTGTGAACGGAATACTTTTTTGCGTATGCGTTTGCGTTTTACTGTATGCGTTTTACTGTATGCGTCCTCGTGGGGCCGGGGTCTAAGCCAAACTATATCCGGTCACAGAGATCTGCTATTTTAAAGTAAGGTCAACACATCGACCCTAAATATAGTCTATATTAAGAACGAGAAAAGTATTAACATATATATCGTTTTTTGTAAACATATGACAAATGTGTGAGGGTGATGACGTCAGAGCATACACCCTGAGCGTACAAGTACACAATAGCGATCGTTCACTGTTTCAACTGGCATGCTGTGGCATTTAACCTCATCATCACACACACACACACACACACACACACACACACACACACACACACACACACACAGAGCAGTGGTGAGGATCTCAGCCTGCCACTGACGTTCAACCAGAAAACATCAGCCGTTAGCTCTTAGCACTCAGAGCTCACAGCTCTTCATATCTGTTCAGAAACTGGACAAAAGTTAAACAAGTACAAACCACAGACTGCCTGTGTCATGGCGAATACAGTCGCTGGTTTATTTATGTCTGTATAGGCCGTTGTTGTGAGTGTGGACGGAGTAGGCCTATATACAACGTTAGCTTAGCCTGGTCGACCCGATCTTCATTCAGAAAACAAGCATTTAAAAAGTGTTTTCGCCTGCCGTCTGTCTGCAGACTTGTCAAAGCATTAATTCATGGTTTTTACTAACCGGTATCAGTATGTTGTTACGTCGGCATCATTTAGAAACGTGTATTACAATTTAATCACGGTAAAATATGTTCATTTTGTTGTAGTTGTAGCTCCCGAGCCAGCGCGTCTTGTTTGAATGATGCGAGTAAACACAGCTGGCAGCCGCGGTAAAACCATGGGTGAAACTCGAGCGATGGGAGCGAACAACGACCCCTGATCTCGCGAGAATGTGTATAAATATAGATACATTTTCATAACAAAACAATGGGGTTGCTAAGCCGTTGCTAGGCCAATTGTTGGAGTTGCTATAGCAACTCCAAGCTACCCCCTGGCGCTGCCCCTGGATGTGATATAAAAACAAATAGATTATTTTTGTAGTTGTAAACTCAAGTGGATGAAACTACATTTATTCGTGCTTTCATGTCAATTCGGCGAACATATGATACATTAAATGATCGTGAGGATGATGATTTAAAAATCGTTTGTTTGAGCCGGTCTGCATTTCCTGATGAGAAAACAAACCGATGCTTTTTGTAGTTGTAGTACACCAACATGGATTAAACGTGTGGTTTTTTTACCACAATGTTGGGGAAATTAATGGATAAAATGCACGGATTATTATTATTATTCTCACTCCGATCGGGACACTAGGTCCACCGTTTCCACGCAGCGAGGCTCCCCCCGTTGACAGTTTACGTGGGCTGGGTGCAGTGGCGGACTGGCCATCGGGACGAATCCCGATGGGCCGGTACCGAAGTGGGCCGGTCGGATAAGTCACTAGCACATCCCCCACTCCCCCCGTTGACAATTTACTAGCGGTACCGTAGTGGGCCGGTTGAGAGTCCCGGGATGATTTTTAGTCTCAGTCCACCACTGGCTACATGACCGTATTATCGCCCATATTGACGCACCTAATTCCTAAACTTCTAACAGATACAACATAAACCGATCCTTCAGCCTCATATGAGCTCTCAGACACGTTCAAAATTAAACTGTCATCGCTGTCTGAGCTTGCTGCTGTGTGCGCCATCGTGCGTTTACATGCAGATGCTGTGATCCGGACGGTACAGCTGGAGCTCTTGGCCCGCAATTACATCACACATAATTTGGCGGGATTTGAACAATCCCCAAGAAGATCCAGAAAATGGTCAACATTGAAGGGCAGGTTAATGGTGATCAAAGTACAAATATCCCAAATCAGTCCAGTAACGGTTTCAAGGGGACAATATTTACTAAAATTGATGGGTTTGGATGATGGGGGAAACTCGTGTCACAGGCTCTTTAAGAGGGCATGTAGTGTTGAGCATATTCCTACCATGCATTGTGAACACATTATCAGAATGTAGTTATTTATAATGTAAGACCTTTTTTCAATGAAATTGTCACAATGGCTCCTCCAGATGCATCGTCTAAGTGCTTTTGAAGCCAGATGTATTCGGTTTACATTTGTGTTACAAAGAAAGCATCTCACTCTGCTATTTGAGAAGCTTAAACCTTAGAATGTGTTGAATATTTTCAAAATGTCTGCGTGAAAATGGATTTTATTTGTTTATCGATCATCAAAAGAATTATCGTTATTTTTTGTGTCAATCGGCCAATTGATAAATCAACTCGTTTCAGCTCTTGTGGCATTAAACAATTTAAAATGGCTATTTTTGGCAAGCAGAGTGCTTGATTCGGACAACACTTGACATAGCAGATTACCATCATAGCTCTACAATCACACACCGTCTTTTCACACATCTGTCTTGAGTAATATACTGCTTATATCGACATATGACCACCAGATGGAAGCATATTTCAGCCAGTGACTACAGCTTTCCTTATAAAATGTCTCAGCTTACCCATTTTTATTTTGTCTCTCTGTCCCTGATGCAGCCTCTTCATGACTATGGAGAAGGTAAAAGGTAGCGGCGTCTTTCCAAGTTGGGCATCCCTTGGTGAGATTTCAGCCGGCCCACTACCCATGTGTGCCATGATCAGTAAATACAAGCTCGGCCACACAATGTGTGTCGTGGTGATTGGCAAGGACAAGTTTGGCCGGTACGGACCTTATAGTGAAATTGTGAACGCACTCATACCCGAGTAGGATATGAGGTCAACGATTTTCTACATGAAGGACCACATCTCATACATGTAATCAAATGAAGAGCATCCAGATTTTTGTTGTAGTTGTGCCTTAAAGCAATCATTCATGTTTTTGTATTATTATTTAAGGCATACGAAATAGAATAGAATTGCACCCAATGTATATAGAGACTCCCCTACTGTCCTCCAGCAATGTTTGCATAACCAATGGATCAATTGATCAATATTTTTATAATGTAAAAAGCTTTTATTTCTCATTGAGATACTAAAGTTGTAAAGGTTTTATTGTATGTTCTGAATGGTCACTTGTTGAATTAAAAAGTAGAAATCTTTAACACTTGTATGTGTCTTCATATAACATATTAACTAGTTTTGATTACTTGCCAGCAGGTCAAAGTAAAGCCATGTATTACATTAAAATAAACGTTATTTAGCTAATGTGTCTTACAATAAGTGCAATAAACCATTACGACTCAGAACAGCAATAGAGTCCTTTGTCTGGAAGGAAAAGCAGTTCGGTCTTGTTTAGGTTGAGCTTTAGGTGGCGTGACAGATATCAGCCAGACAAGCAGAGATGCATGTGACCAATTGGGTTTCAGACAGGGGAAATAACAATTGGTTGATTGTCCTCTGGATAGCTATGATAAAAGAGACCGTCAGGGCAAATGGCAGAGGCAAGGGCATTTTTGTACAGATAAATAAGGAGGGGGACCACTGATACATTGACAAGAGTCGGACCAACCCTCTCGTTAACCCGTAGGACCAGTGTTTAATGTAGGCTGAACATAAGCAACACAAAGATATTGGGGCAGATGCCAATTACGTTACTTTACATTTAGCTGGTGTTTTTATCCATAGCAACTTACTCATAGCGCAATAAACCATAAAGATAATTGGAACAACAAGAAAAATGCAGATATATTCGCTTAAGATAAGCCAAACCAATGCAAGTGGTGGTGCATTAAGTTCAAATGGGCTAAACTCTTTAAGTCCTGCAACGTTTGTGTGTGTGTGTGTGTGTGTGTTGGGTTTTAATCGCCAAGATACAAGCAAAACAAGTGGGTTTTCAGTTTGCAATAGAGTTATGTAGACTTCCTGCTGCCAACAATTCCACCATTTTGGGGCCAGGAGAACAGGTGTTATTTTGATGAAGGGTTCTAACTCGCAGTGAGAAGGTCAAAAGTCGGCTGATGCAAGCCTAAGTGTTTATGTAACCTGTAACCCTTATTTAAGCAACCATGGAACTCCCTTTTATTGTGCACAGTACCATTGATCAACCCACAAGCGGCCGATAGAGGGTGGTGTTAGCTCTCTGTAAGGTCTGGCTTTGTACTAGTTAAATACATGAACAAAGCTGTTTCTGTATCTTGCCAGTTTGAGTCCATAAAACAGTCCGCAGACAAGACACTACTCGCCTGTTTTTGACTAACCAACATACCTGCCTCAATTAACTCTTTCCTATCCAGCTTTGATCATACTCATGACCAAGAGGCAGTTTTTGTAATTACAAGCAACATCATCAGGACCACAAATTGAGAAATTGTTAATCAAAAATGTAATATGAGATTAAACGGCATAACCTGCAGGAACATTTAGGTAAAAGCAACAGAAAATGTTTTATATTCACTTTAATAATATAAGCAATCAGAATTGAGTATCCAGTAAAGGTGTGTATTAATAGAGTGGTACAGAAATGAGACCTAAAATCCCAAAATTAGTTTGGCCACTTGCCCATTTTACTAGATTGTCATTAAAACCATTACTTATAGAGAAAACCACCCTTGAATGAGGGGATAGTAGCCAAAAACCTTAAGGAATCCAAACTATAACATATAAGTACCCTGTATCAAGATTGATGCAAAAAAAGTGAAATTGTACCTTTTTAGAGAGGTTTAGAAAAGAAAAACCCACCTCTGGGTACATTTGGGTGTATTTGCCGTATCTCTGGAACCCATTGGTCGATTTTGGTGATTGACACCTCTTTGTAACCGTTAGAGCCAATAGAATCGAGGAGGGGTTCCTAAATCCACCTAAACATTACCATTGAGGAGTGAGAGTGATGCACACACAGTTTTCCCAAACCAAAAGCTCTGTTACACTCTATATGAAAAATATGTTTATTGCCATAAATGTTATGATGGATTATCAGTTGAACATAACTTGATAACGTTGGAGCTTAATGGTACCATGGTCTTTAATAATTCAGCCCCGGGGCCTGTTTAATATCTTTTATATCCATCCCCACACACACCCCCCTAATTCAGCACCATGAACAGCAACATATGGCCTCAATGCCAGGTATCAGTAGATGAGAATGATCATTATCTCTGGTGGATTAACACTAGTTATGTAAAACGATGCACAACACATTTAAACCTGCATAGGCTACTGGGAATCAATGAATAGTGCAGCATTGCCTTACCACTATATCTATGCTTCTTCTTCTAGTGCTTTTACATCCCTCCTGTCTGTTTGTCCTCTCCCGCTACTCCATCACTATCAGAACCAGACATATATACTGGCTCCGAGGCCCCGCGGCCGGCACCGGCGTCATGCTGCCGCTCGGTACAGAACTCATCTGTCCTTCCTCCTCATCCTGGCCTACACACTGTAAAAAAGGATTTTGGAGGGTAGTATATATTATCCAAGCAAATCATTTAAATTCTACTCAAGGTATATAAGTGAGCATTGTTAGTATATATGAATGGGTCAATTCTACCTACATTACCTAATTTCTGACAATACCAACTGAAACACAAACAATCTGGGTAAAATCTACTTGAACACATTAGGCCACACTGCCCCTTCACGCATGCGTCTGCGGTGATTCTTGGCTGCAGGCCAGAGGAACGGTTCTCTTTCGCGCCTCCCTCCTCCTGGTGTGTGGAAATGTTGGAAGGTAAGATATATATATATATATATATATATATATAGAGAGGCAAAGTCCCGCCCATCTTCCGACCCATGGGACCTTATTTCGAAAAAAATAATGTATTGAAGTCAATGGGGAGAGAAAACGTATCTTTCGATCCCGTTTGAATTGTGCCATGAATTACACATATGATGTTTGTCAATCTTAACAAATCATTTCCATGTCAAAAAAGTCAGAGTTTGTCGTAAACCTGTTGAAATATAAGACTATGAAAAATATGCAACTAGAAAGACTACAAATTGTGTAAGTCAGTGGTTCCCAAACTTTTTCTGTCAGGCCCCCCCTTGGAGAAAAAAAAAAGTCGGGCCCCCCCAACACAAGTCAGTCTCAGTGGCGGCGCCAGAGATTTATTTTGGGGGTGCTCTCGCTCGCTCGCGCACGCACACAAAATGGCTAGTTTCACACACACACACAGAGCCGAGCTTTAATGAAACACAGAGACCCAGACGTAACAGTACTGTACTGTATCATATTATTTTCGAATCAATAATTTTTCAAATTATGATTTATTTTAATTTTAATAACCATTTTTCCTCCTGGTCTCCCTGTCATGCCCCACACTTTAGGAACCACTGGTGTAAGTGATGTCATATTTGTTTTCCTCCACTAAATATAAGAGATAGCTAAGATAAGATAACTTTAACAAGATGCCTGTGTGCTTTGTACCAGGTTGTAATCATACCAGCAATGGGTCTTGCTCGTTCTTTCGCTTCCCGTCTGATGAAAGGACCAGGATTGGCTGGATCAAGTTAGTTAACTAGCTAGTAGCAAGCACGTAGCATTACAGCCTTAGCATTAACATGAAGTAACATTAAGTAACCCAAAATGTCAAACAGTAAGAGTAGTAGTCATATTTCGTGAACCCTTTGAAGAGTACTGTCACACCGGTGTGATCATTCTATAATACACCGTTTTAGCAGCTTTAAAATCAGCTGTGGTCTAGAGAGAATAATCAGTAAGGTAACAAACGTACATCAACACAATATTCACATTAAAAGCAATAAGAAACTTTATACTTGCAAGTATGACGTCCCCTCTAACGGAGGACGTACTGTTCTGAGTGAAACAGGCTCTCTTTATAAGAGGACATCAAAGCAGATTTACATTACAACAACATTCTGGGAGGCCAGCTGTATGCAAAACCATCACACCCTACAAGACAATGGGATATACAGATACCCCTCAGACACATTATGCAAAAACCTCACCCCCTAAACACGTCTGTTGATCACACATACATTTAAGGTTCACTCCCAAAGAGATGACCTAATCAGAGAAACTAAGGTTAGCAATGTTAACATATTTGATAGCACAATTTCCTTAACATTCTCCCCTTTGATTCATTTGAATCACTAATTGTGCTATCAACTTTAGGACTAATTAACATTGCCATGTACATTTGTCAGTTTGAAAAGTGTTTCCACATCAGGTAGGTCTGTGTTGTCACACATGCTTAGTTTGGCACCTTAGAGTTAAACTCGCATACATTTTTAACAATGCAAAATATAAGAATCTTATCAAATATCAAACATTTTGGAATAGTATACCCCCCTTAGGTCAAATAGTCATTTAACCATTTATCGAAGGAATAACATCACACAAAAAATGTCTTGAAGCTTTCTAAAGCTGTTTAACATACTAATAATTTTATCCAAATGTTTAGGTATTAGTGTTGAACTTGCTTAACCGTTCAGATTTCTATTGAGTTATAGCCCAATTATTTTTCATTAGATCATCTACAGTAATACCATTTCATACTTTCACATAGCAAACACATACTCTTTCATTTGTACTTTTCTCTTTAAATCTCACATTCTCTTCCCCTTCTTTTCATATTCATCTTAAACTTCCTGTTTTAGAAGAAATAACACATTCTCTTAACCAACATTGTAACTGGAAGCTTTCTTTTCTCCAAATTAGTTTTCATAAAGTTAACATTCAGAATACCTCATTCAGTTATATTATCAACATTACTTTGACTTTCTCCACTCACTCAACCCATCTTCACTTTCTGTTCAAACCACCTGTATGTTGTTTCAAAACATTACATTTTAAATGGTGTGCTTATAATTAATTAATTATAGATCTCCTAATTTGTCCAGCACTGCTTCAAAATCTTAATGTGCCAATGTACAAACAAAAAATAAACCTCCAACATCTTCAGTTAAACTATATTGGTGAACTATATTGCATATTTCAATAGCTCTGAATTTCTGATGGGCATCTGTTATTCCTAAACAAATGATTAAAATCAAGATATAATAGTGAACAACAACTCATGTTTCTGGTAAAGACACACTAATGATGTGGCTACAATAAAAAACAACTCAAACCATGATACAGCCAAAATGAATGCAATTCCTGGGTGTGTCTGTCCTGTAAGGTCATGAAGGAGTACTTGTG